GAGAGAGAAGGACAGCAAAACAGAATAAGGTTATGCAACAGCCTCTGTTTTGCAATTTCCAGAAAGACTGTGTTTTTAGAGAAGAAAAGACTCTTCTCATTTTATTTTTTGCTTGTATATATAAGAATGCAATAATAGAAACAGATTACATCAAACCAAACGATAAAATCAAAAAGTCCGAAATCCATGCATACACGTTGCATGGTGTTTACGTATTCTACCGTGAAACAACTTCACCGTTGATTTAAATTCAAATTTGAAACTAAACAGATAAAAAGTTATTACATTTAACAGAGGGCATTGAGACTAACATTACAAACATTAAAGATAGATGGATCTATACTTATAATTCTATTTTGTTAGGTCATGACATCAAAAATTGAGATGATTTTGGGAGGGTCATAGATCATTTAATTGACTTGTAATTATGCTATGTACATGGGCGGTACCCCCTTGGTACCTTTGTGTATAATATTACTTCTCTTATATTTAAAAAAAAAATTAAAGTGAGACACCCGCCCTTGGAAAGAAAGTTCTTCCACCCAGCAAGTCACAATTCAATAACCGGATTTTAGGTGCATTTGTCTTTAAATTTTGCACCCAAAGGTACTCCTAGGTATTTCAAAGGGAAGCTCACCGATTTGCACCCCAGGACCTTAGCATAGTTGCTGCCATCCCCCTCACCCCCGGTCCTGGCCAATTCAGATTTTAACATATCAATTTTTAATCCAAAAACAACCTGAAAATAGTAGAGAATGCATCATAGATATAAGAGGTTTCTAATATCCGGATGGCAAAATGAGGGGTGTCATCAGCAAAAAACAAGTGTGTAACATTAAGAACATTCAATCTTTTCTCAACCTTAACGCCTTTCAATAAATCTAGCCCTTTAGCCTTGCACAATAAGCCATTTAGAGGCTCCATTGCAATGATAAATAGTAACGGGGAGAGTGGATCTTCCTGTCGTAACCCACGGGTTGCAAAGAAAAATTCAGATGGCCCCCCCATTCGCAATCACAGCAAAGGGAGGACATGAGAACTTACACCTGCAAACACAAGGCCATTAAGCAAGATCTGCTTCGTAAAGCGCCACCCCTAAATTCAATTTCGAAGAAAACATCTGGTGAGTTCTGTCGAACCCAAGCTTCCACTGTGAATGACCTTAACATACCTATCGTTGTTAGGAAAAGAACTCTCACTTAGGACTCTATCTCTAACTTTATCTCATTCTACTCATCTCACCTTCGTATGGAGCCTCAATACTGTCGTCTTCTTCTATTTGTATTCCATAGGATCGGTAGAAAACTCTAGTTTATCTTACATGGAAGGAGGAGGAGGTTATGGGTAAAGACATGCGAGCCTTGGCAAAAGGAGGACTTGGGTTGTTGATCTAACATCAGGAAGAGACTAATGGGTTACGAATGAGTATTTACTTGTGTTTCCATTGGTGGACATTGGGAAAATTGAGAGATTAAGGCCCAGTTGGTGGCCAAAGGGGTCATCTAAATCTATGACGTTGACTACCAAGAATGGTTTGCTTTGGTTGCTAACATATGAGCGCAATTAAGATCCTACTATCATGTATAGCGAACTTTGACTAGGATCTATAAGAGCTTGACGTTAAGAATGTTCTTTTGCAGGGAAATCTAGAAGAAGCTTGAACAAAAGTTCCCTTTGGCCTGGTACCAAGAAAATTGCAAGTAAGTTGTCTTGGTTGAAGAAGACACTGTAATACCTACCTGGGTACAAAAAAAAAAACAAAGAAAAACAAAAAAAAAAAACTATAGAGTATATATATATACATATATATATATATGTATATGTATATGTATATATATATAATTAAACAAAAAAAAATTAAAGAAAGAAAGAAAACAAAACCCCAGATGGTACTCTTGGAGCAGAAGAAGAAAACACGTGGTTATATATAATATATATATATATAATTAAGTAACAGAAAAAGAAAAGAAAGGAAGAAAAAAAATAGAAAGAGAAGAGAGAGGGCCGAGCGGCATTGATGGGAGAGAGGGAAGGGTCGCACGGTGTTGCGCAACACTGCAATCGAAGGAGAAAGAAAGTGGCGAGGAATTGCCATCGGTTAGAGAGAGAAAGAGAGGAGAGAGAGAGAAGACACGCGGTGGGTAGAGAGAGAAAGAGAGAAGAAAGAAGAAAGAAGAAAGAAAAAAAAAGGAGAGAGGAAGAGGAGTTGCGGGAAAGGAGGAAGAAGAAGAAAAAAAAAGAGAAGAAGAGGAGTTGCGGGAAAGGAGGAAGAAGAAAAAAAAAAGAAGAGAGAAAAAAAAAAAGAAAAGAAAAGAAAGAAAAAAAAAAGAAAGAAAGAAAAAAGAAAAAGAAAAGAAAAGAAAATAAAAATAAAAGAAAAGAAAAGAAAAAAAAAAGGAGAAAAAAAAAGAAAAAAAAGAAATAAAATGAAGGAAGAAAAATGGAAGGGTGGCGACCAAATATGATATTGGTGCGCCGCATGCGACAACACGCGCTGATTCGATCATCAGCGCTTGACATTTTTGGTAACACGCGTATAACGGCGCGTTGTGACGTTGGCAACCGGGACCACGTGTCTCAAGGTAAAATTCATTTATAATTTCGCGTAATATAGTTTTTAAAATTATTTATAATTTAATATATGTGTTTCTATTATAGACGATGAAAATTATTCAATCGGTATTCGGATTTCCGAAATGACTGTCGATCAAGTTAGAAAGGATTCCCAAAACTTTTCTGATCACACCATAAGTAAAAATTATGTGTATTCCGTGCGGAAACATAAATTATATGTTTATTTAAATGTGTATATGTATAGTGCATTATATGTGAATGTTTAAATGTATGTGTAGTATAATATAAATATAATTAGTATGTCTGATTTGTATTTGTTTGTGTTCATGTGTGTGTACATATATAAAAATATACAATTATTGTGATTTGAATCGGTAAGAACTTAATTGATAACAACTAAACTAATAACAACAAATACGTGAATATTTATGTATATGATATATTGTGTGTGATTGTGTGGACTTCTTTGAGCACGAACGTGTGCTTATGTTTCTATTCAAATTGCGTGTGCAAAAAAAATCAAATATTCCGTTCCAGATTTGCA